ATGCCCAGCTAATTTTTTGTATTTTTAGTAGAGACGGGGTTTCACCATGTTGACCAGGATGGTCTCGATCTCTTGACCTCATGATCCACCCGCCTCGGCTTCCCACAGTGCTGGGATTACAGGCTTGAGCCACCGCGCCCAGCCTATTGATATACTCTTTAGTTTACTGCTGAGGTATTGCTGCTATCTTGTATGAAAATGTCTTTCAAGACCTCGTAACTTTAAGAATGAGAGCCAGCTTCCTATTATGGTTCATTTTTGGAGAAATTCCGAATAAAGACGATAGATGGATTCCCTTAAGGGAAATAATTATTTAAACTATTACTTTCCTAATGAAAAAAAAATGAAAATAAGAGGAACCACTTGGAAAAATAATATTCTTAAATCATAAGTTATGGATTTTTGAATGTTATTTTTTGAGGATTGATAAGTCTAAACACTAAATGCCTATCTTGAGAAGGCAGACTCTAAGTCTTCATGATCTTTGTTCCCTATTCATATGTATTGTTTTCCCCCTCCTATTTTATTCAAAACTTTTTTTTTGCCGGGCTCGGTGGCTCACGCCTGTAATCCCAGCACTCTGGGAGGCTGAGGCGGGTAGATCACCTGAGGTCGGGAGTTCAAGACCAGCCTGACCAACAAGGTGAAACACCGTCTTTAAAAAAAACAACAACAAAAAACTTTTTTTTCCCCCAATATCTGGAAGTACTTAAAGCACAAGACAATGACTTGTCACACTGCTTTTGTCATCAATTCCCCTTTCATTCCTGGCAGCCTCACTGCAGTGCAAGAACCTGTCTGCCTTGCCTGTTCTTGCATTAGCTCATAGCCTCACCCAGGTCCCTTTCCATAGACCTTGCCCTGCTCCTGCCTGGCAGAAGGCTCAGGTGTCACTGCCACAACTTTGCATCTGCACATGCAAGTGTGCTTCAAATAATGCAAAAGATAGGACACTTGGGACTCTCAAATGTTGGAAACAGGATTTTTCATGAGATTTTCTTCCATGTCTGAAATTATAATATTTGCAAAGGGCCTAAAACACTACCAGTTTTAAACTCTTATTTTTTATAATTTGGTGACTACAATCAATAATTCACAGTAATGAGTTAGCATAAAATGCC